CTTTAAAAAAAAAAAAAAAAAAAAAAAAGATGACCGGTGATAAATCTTAATAAAACTATGCTTCCATTGGAGTTAGTGGCTAGGGGGGGACCCCACCTTGAAGGACACTAAAGCATGAGCTGATTTGGGAGGCATTGTCTTGAGCTGTGGCCTGTCACTTAATCCTACTTGGTTTTATCCCTTCTAATAGGAAGCCAGATGGGGAAGCAGCTCCAAGCAGCCATTTGTTTATCTGTGATTGTTGGAAGGGGCCCTAGGTGGGTTATATAATTGAAGGTTCTTGGTTTTTACCGATGAGGACGCAGAAGGCCAGACTGGGGAACTGACTTGGTCATGGTCACAAAGCACCTCTGGGGCAGATGCAGTGAGAGAAACCCATTTCCTGACTCCCAGGCCACAACCCAGGCAGCAAGAGCTGGACGCCTTGAAGAGTCATGACTTTGCACAAATACGGTGAATCTTTGGCTGTGGGCCCTCAAGCCCTAATGGCTACAGCACAATGTCGCAGGGTAGTGAGCTGCGCGAGACAGCCGCCAGAGTGACTGGGACCCTGTCTGCCTAGTGCATTTTCTCATTGGGGGGATAGGAGAACAAGGTGACTTGCTAAACCTTTCTGTAACACCGTTTGCTCCTCCCAACCTCAATTTCCTCATCTGTTACCAGGAAGGATAGTGGCTGGGGGTGCAGACTCGGGTCAGTTTGTCTGAGCTGGAACCCCATTTCTAGTTCTGAGAGCTTGGCCAAGCTCTTCACTTCTCTGAGTCTCAGTTTCCCCATCCGTAGAAAAGAGATAATTATGGTGTTTACTTTCACAGGGCTGTTGTGAGGGTTGAATGAGATCGTGTATGCAAGAGAAGCATCCCGCAAACTTATAACCCCTGACTCTGGCTCCCCAGGGCCTCCTACCGGTCAAGTACAGACCGCCTGGGTTGACACCTGTCCCCATCGCTTCCTAGTTCTGTGGCCTTGGTCAAACCCCTGCACATCCCTTGAGCCTAAGTATCCCCATCTTAAACGGGATGCCGACAGGACTTGACTCCCATGGTCTTGAGGGGAGGATTAAATGCCTATCAAGACGCTCCATGAGCACAGCTCCGGCACGCCCGAGAGCCCTCGCCTGTCGCGCTCTCAGCTGCCGATTTCGCCTGGCACTGACGGGGCTCCCAAAATATCCGTTGAGCCCGCGAGAGAAGGACCCTGCTGGCCGAGAGCCTGGGCTGTCATTATCATGTTTCCCACCCCTTCCTCCCCGAGTGGCTGAGGACGCGCGAGAGGGGGCGCGCCTGAGCCGGGATTCGTCGCAGCCGCGCGGCCCGCCTTCCCCCCTCCCTCCTGAGGAGCCTCNGCCCCGGGGCGCCTGGCTGGGGCAGCTTCCTTTTCTGCTGCTCGGCTGGGAGTGGCGGCCGCAGGCTCCGCCATGACCCTGGCAGTATTTGACCTCGGAAAAGTTTGATTGTGTCTTTATGGCATTTCCACACCCAGAGACCCAGCTTCCCCGGAGGTGGCTGCCTTCCCAGGGTGTGCGGGGCCTGCCCGGGTCCCTCAGAAAGGTCACGGGGCTCGCTGACTTGGTGTTTGATGGTTCTTTGTGTCTGGGGAAGCCCTCCTCCTGTCTTTGCTTCTTCAGAGGAGAGGCCCCACACCCAGAGACACTGACCGCGCCACCGGCCTGTCCCCTCTCTTATTAACGCCAAGGTGTGATTTGCAATAGAGTGATCGCCCTAAGTGGGCTGGCTGTAGCCTCTGCTTTCGTTGGCTTCCCCCAGTCTCCCTGAAGGAAGTCCTCCAGCGCAGTCCTGGGAGGCGGCTGGGCGGCAGTGACCCAGTGATTTGAGAGGGGCCAGGTGTGGGCATGCAGGAGGGTTAGGCAGTCCTGACAACCTCTCTCTGCTGACCTCAAGACTGAGCCGTTAATCATATTCCCTGAGACCCGTTCCAATGCTAGAGTCGCTGCAGCTCCAGCCAGGGGAGTTAACTCCTGTGCATAGACCAGCCCTTCCAATTCCTGGGTCATTCTGACCTCCTTACCATTGGAAGGTGTGGACCTTTGTGTGCAGCTGGTTCTCCTGCAGGCCAGATGTCCCCTTAGTGACCAGAATTAGAGATTACATGTGTTCAGGAAACGTTTGACTTGGGCCTGAGGATTCTAAACCTGCCTGTGCTCTCCTGAGAGAACTGGGACTGGCATCCGTGGTAGCCTAGTTTTGGAGAGATGATGGTGTCTTTCTTTTGCATTCTCATTTCCCCTTCTCCCCTTTAATGCTGCTGGATCTTCTTTTTCTTCAAGCCTCTTTCAGAATGTGCATTTGTCGTTTTAGGAGAATGTATTTACTGGGCAATCAAAGATCTATTCCTACATGAGCCCGAACAAATGCTCTGGAATGCGTTTCCCCCTTCAGGAAGAGAACTCAGTTGCACATCATGAAGTCAAATGCCAGGGGAAACCATTAGCTGGAATCTACAGGAAACGAGAAGGTAAGCCTCTGAAATGGCCCCGTTCTGACCACAGCTGAGGGGCTGCAGAAGCCTTTCTCCTCCATTAGAATGCATATGTATTATCTATTTATCCACCCTTTTCAGTCCCAAGTTTGAGAGGTTCGAACCAGGTTTGAACTTGCTGCTAAGAAACAGACATAGGGGAAAAGAATGGCCTGTTCCAGGGCGTGTGCCCTGTTGGTCTGACAGGTTTTCCCTGCTTTCACAAGAGTTAGCATGTCCTTCAAGCTTGATTGTCTTGCCAAACTGCAAAAATAATGCACCGGAGCTGCAATTAGAGAAGCTCACAAGTGCTAAAAGTACAGAAATAATGAGTCCAGGTTGTACAGACCAGGTAATTGCAGTCCTAACTAACATGTGTGATGCAGACTCCCTTCCTTTTTTATGAGCTGGCCTTGACCCCATTTCTAAAAAAGTTTCTTCCACTCAATATTCAGTGCTATTCTCTGAAACAGCATAATGTGTGATGAGATTTGGAGTTAAAATATTGAACAAGAAAATACATGGCTGTTGAAAATTGTGTGGCCCTGCAAAACAAGCTGAAACCTCTTATAAATCTTGCTCTAATCCAAATATTCCCTTTCAAAGCTGCACGGGGGAGTGGGAGCTTTCCCTTATTCACCATGCTCCCTTCTAATTAAGACTTACCTGAAAGAAGCAGAACTTCTGGCTGTCATCAGCTCCATGCAAGGAAGCCTGATATTCAATAACAGAAAGTGTCATAAGTGATGATTTAGCCCGACCTCTGGGGCCAGATCTGAAAACCAGGGGTGGGAAAGCCCTGAACCCAGGGCAGGAGCCCACCCTCAGCTTAATTTTTTGTACAAGGTGGTATTATTTAGTTCCATCTTCAAGTGACTTTGTTCTAATCTGAACTTTGCCGTTTGTAAGGAGGAGGCTTGGGCAGGTTGCTGCTCTTTTCTGAGCCTCAGTTCTCTCACCTGTAAATTGGGAGAGAGAGGAGTCCTACCTCACCCACAGTACTCTTCTCAAGATCAGTTGCAGCATAGATGCAAAAGGGCTTTGTGGTATGTTCCATATATCAGCTCTATCCCTACTGGACTGCAAGTGCCACATCCTGTACCTGCAGTACTTAGAACAGCACCTACCACACAGTGGTGGGGAAAGGGCTCTCTCTAGAAATGGGATTCGGCCAGTCTCACATCCTTCTTGGAATGGGGTAGGATGTATATTGTCCCAAATGGTGATGTGGTGCACAAGCTAGCTTAGTTGTCTCATGGTGTTACTAAATGTCAATGATTAGAATTTGGGGCTGGCCCCGTGGCTCACTCGGGAGAGTGTGGTGCTGGTAGCACCGAGGCCGCGGGTTTGGATCCTATATAGGGATGGCCGGTGTACTCACTGGCTGAGCGTGGTGCAGACGACACTGAGCCAGGAGTTGCGATCCCCTTACCAATCAAAAAAAAAAAAAAAAAAAAAATTTGGTGTCTGATGTACTTTGGAGAAAACCACAAGGACCAGGCTGTTGTCTGTGATTCTGCCATGGCACAGACCAATGTGACAGATTACATTCACAGGCATCAGGCATTGTTAGGGTTATGCCTGATGTCCTGGCCTTAATCCCCTTTGGTTCCACCCAAGAAAACATGTTTATTGAGATATAATTCAGGTATCATAAAATTCATCATTTTATTTATTTATTTATTTATTTATTTATTTATTTATTTATTTATTTATTTTTTGTCCTTTTTATTTATTTATTTTTTGTCCTTTTTGAGACCGGCTGCACCGTGATCAGCCAGTGAGCGCTGTGAGTGCACCGTTCATCCCTATATAGGATCCAAACCCGTGGCAGGAGTGCTGCTGCACTCCCAGTGCCGCACTCTCCCGAGTGCGCCATGGGCTCGGCCCAAATTCATCATTTTAAATTGTACGATTCAGTGGTTTTTGGTACATTCATAGAGTTGTGCAACCATCACCACTATCTAGTTCCAGAACATTTTCATCACCCCAAAAAGAAACCCATACACATTAGGAGTCATTTTCCATTCCCCCATATCTCCAGCCCTAAGCAACCTTTAAACTACTTTCTTTCTCTATGAATTTGCCTATTCTGGACATTTCATATAAATGGAATCACACAGTATATAGCCTTTTGCATCTGGCCTCTTTCACTTAGTGTCTTGTTTTCAAGGTTCATCCATGTTGTAGCTTGTGTCAGAACTTAACTGCTTTTTATTGCTGAGTAATGTTCCATTATATGGATAGACCATGTTTTGTTTATCCATTCATCAGTTGATGGACATTTGGGTTGTTCCCACTTTTTGTGTATTATGAATAAGCTGCCATGTTCATGTACAGACTATTGTGTGGACATATGTTTTTAATTCTTTTGAGCAAATGCATGGGAGCGGAATTGCTGGGTCATGTAGTAACTCCATGTTTAACTTTTTGAGGAACTGCCAAGTGGCTGAATCATTTTATGTTCCTACCAGCAGTGTAATATTTATTTATTTATTTTATTTATTTATTTATTTATTTATTTTTAAAGATGACCGGTAAGGGGATCTCAACCCTTGGCTTGGTGTTGTCAGCACCACGCTCAGCCAGTGAGCAAACCGGCCATCCCTATATAGGATCTGAACCCGCGGCCTTGGTGTTATCAGCACTGCACTCTACCGAGTGAGCCACGGGCCGGCCCTAGTGTAATATTTATTTTTATTTATTTGTTTTTGGCAGCTGGAGGGTATGGGGATCTGAACCCCTAACTTGGTGTTACAACACTGCTCTCTAACCAACTGAGCTAACTGGCCAGTGTATTTACATATTTTTAAAAAGTAAATCATGGGGCCGGCCTGTGGCTCACTCGGGAGAGTGCGGTGCTGATAACACCAAGGCCACGGGTTCGGATCCCATATAGGGATGGCCGGTTTGCTCACTGGCTGAGCGTGGTGCTGACAACACCAAGCCAAGGGTTGAGATCCCCTTACCGGTCATCTTTAAAAATAAATAAATAAATAAATAAATAAA